AAATGTCTTTTGGTTCCGAGCACTCAGGAACTCTAAAGAAGATGCCAAGCCAGGGCCACCAGTTTCAATAAAGACACAAGAAAGTCATCTCCTGCCGAAAAGTCTGATCTTCATTTGAAAAAGAGCAAGTCCATTGCATGGATGTTAATTGCCAACCTACAATTCATGGGGACCTTCAGCATACTAGATGGCTGGTCCTGAGTCGTCCCTATCGTTTTTGATATGCTTGAGCCCACTGTGGAGGCTGTCATGTCACTTTCTCATTGAGGATTTTCCTAGTGTTTGATGACCTTCTACCTTACCAAACACCATGTGCTTTACTATTGATTGTTCTTTCTTGAGCACGTGTTCAAAGGAATGGATAATTAGACAGGCCTATAAAGAGAACAAAGAAGCTCTGATGGTGTCGGTGGGTACGCACTGGGCTGTTAACTGCAAGGACAGCAGTTCAAAACTACCAGTTACTCTAAGGGAGAAAGTTGAGGCTTTCTACTCCCTTAAAGACTTCCAGTTTCAGAAACCCACAGTTCTATTCTGTCCCATAAAGTCACTGAGTCAGAACTGACTGGATAACAGAGAACTTTTTTTAATTGTTATTTTTATAACATGAACAATAAAACCCAGGAGGAAGATCTGTTTCCGAACAATCAGTCAATCTAAACTAAAATGGCAGCATTTGCCCAAAAACAGAGCTCCGAAGGCAGGAAGAAGAAAAAAAGAAACCACAGAAGTGCCCCTGTGAGTTTAAAAGACTGTCACTCTTTATGGGAGTAGAAAGGCCCGTCTTCTCCCATGGGGGTTTAGAACTGCTGACCTTGCGGTTAGCAGCTCAACTCAAGCCCTACACCACCAGAGTTCCAAAAAGCGGGAAGGAGCAGCAAAAAATGACGAGTGAAAACACAGAACTCAAGGAAGAAGTGAGAAGTGCTATCACATGGAAAGGATTATAACTATCATGAAACAAAAACGTATGTAAATTACTGAATGGAGAACTAATGTACACTACAAACTTTCACCCCAAGCACAAGAAAATGTTCAAGAACATAAAGGCCACAGTTCTACAAAGAATGATTGAAAAGTTCTATTGAATAGCTCTTACCCCAAGAAATTTATAATTTTGATTATAGATATATAATTTACTCATATGAACCAGAGTAATAGAGATATCTACAAATTGAGCATTTATTTATCGAGCATTTCATCAATTGCTAAAAGTTCTTAACAACTCTGGGTTTAATTGAAATAAGCTTGTTGCCAACTCCCACTCCTCTACAGCCCTTCTTTAGAAGTTACACCACTTCTCTGCTTTCCTGACACCCAGATCCTGACTCCCAAGCTTTCTCACAGCCACGCTGGGCCTTCCAAATGAGGAATTAGTGGTTACTGGTCATCTGCCCGGCTCCCACAGGCTTGTTACGAGTGTTCCTTGGCCACTTGGCCTTTTCAATCCAGTGTTTTTTAACCGGCCTTTTCCCAGTTGAATAATCTCTATTCAACATGTATGTACTCTGCTCTTATACCTGTTTATTTTTCATGATTCTAGTGTTCATTGAATTTTGATGTGGTCCTTGTTCCTTAATATTCTAACTCTGCCAGTTAATTATTTGTCCCACTTTTTGTCACAACGGCTCCATTTCCTCTTTTAATATCTTAATAATTCCATAGTAGCTCATAGTTCTTTCTAGGTTGTTCTATCATTTCCAGTATTATTTACTATCCAGAGAGTAAATTGGTCAATGAAAGTATTAGATTGTTTTGTTATGCATTTTAAATTTTTTAGTATGTGTTATTCAGTTACATCACACACACACACACACACACAGATACACAGATGACAGGCCTATGAACTCTGCATAGGAGTGGAGCTGACAGTTTCAAGATTATTTGGGCTAACGCCACTGGCATGGTAGTGATTTGGGACAAAAATTAATACTAACTTCAGGCTTAGGATTGCATCATGTTTTAGGTAGAACGACTACTGAGTATCTGTTTTGGCATAAGCTTGGTATTCTGTGCACTTTGGAGATGAAATATCACCCTCATTCTTTCTTCTATCCTCCTCCTCACTCTCAATGTGGATCACAAGCTCCTATGGATTTCCTTGGGTCAGGGACAGTTCACACACAGCCACCTAGGGTTTCTATTCATCTGGGCCAAAAGAGAATAAAAACCTCAAAGATTTAAATAAGAAAGTAGTCTACAGGACTACAATTAAACCTCATCTTATTGCACTTCACAGATACTGAGATTTTTACAAATTGAAATTTTCTGGCAAATCTGCATGGAGCAGGTCTACCAGGACAGTTTCTTTCAACAGCATGTGCTGATCTCCTGTTTCTATGTCACATTTTATTAATTCTCACAATATTTCATAATTTTAATCATGTTATTACACATGTCATAGGCTACAGTACATTGTAAATATAATATACGTACTGGGAAACCAAACAGTCATGTGGCTCACTTTATTGCGGCATTCCCTTGCCTATGACATCTCTAAGGTATATGTGAAATAGTTCCCACCACGCACAATCTGATCTACCCTGAGACCAGAGGATCTAGATGGTTCTTGGCTACCATTACGGGCCAATGTGTCCAGGGACACCACAGATGGTCCTCGCCGAATACAATGGGAGAAATGGTAGAAATAAACTCAAAAGTTTACAAAATGACAAGCTTACTAGACTGGTAGAGACGAGAGGAACCCCAGGGAGTGTCACCCAAGATACACCTGAAACTTGAACCAGACACCCTCCAGGGGATTACCTTTCAACTAAAATCAGATTGACCCACAAATTAGACAACATATTCCATGAGCACTGTGGTCTTATAAACAATCAACTCTATGAGACCACATGGAATCTTCCACCCAAAAGCAAAGATGAGACAATAAAGGGTAAAGGGCAGGGAAACTACATTAATGAAAGTCAAACAACTAGAACAGAAATACGGAGAATATTCATACAATGAGGAAAAATATAATCAACTCACGGAACAAGATCACAGAAATTGGTAAATGGAAAGGAATTTGTCTTGAAAACTTTCACCAGAAACACAACATATGTGAAAATATTTTTTTCTAAATTAAATTCAAATGAAGAAAACTACATCTAACTAATCACAGGCAACCAGCAGAATTACAAGAGATAACAATGCTGTTTTAAGCCACTAAATTTAAAAAAAAATCATTTTATGAGGGGCACATACAACTCATCACAATCCATACATACATCAATTGTGTAAAGCACATTTGTACATTCATTGCCCTCATCATTCTCAAAACATTTGCTCTACACTTAAGCCCCTGGCATCAGCTCCTCATTTTCCCCCTCCTTCCCCACTCTCCACTCCCTCATGAACCCTTGATAATTTATAAATTATTATTTTGCTATATCTTACACTGTCCAACTTCTCCCCTCACCCACTTTTCTGTTGTCCATCCCCCAGGGAATAGGTTATATGCAGATCCTTGCAATCGGTTCCCCCTTTCCTCCCCACCCTCCCGGTATCACCACTCTCACCACTGGTCCTGAAGGGATCATCCATCCTGGGTTCCCTGTGTTTCCAGTTCCTATCTGTACCAATGTACATCCTCTGGTCTGGCCAGATTTGTAAGGTAGAATTGGGATCATGATAGTGGGGTGGGAGGAAGCATTTAGGAACAAGAGGAGAGTTGTATGTTTCATCACTGCACCCTGACTGGCGCTTCTCTTCCCTGCGACTCTTCCATAAGGGGTTGTCCAATTGCCTACAGATGGGCTTTGGGTCTCCACTCCGCACTCCCCCTCATTCACAATGATTTGATTTTTTGTTCTTTGATTCCTGATACCTAATCCCTTCAACACCTCATGATCACACAGGCTGGCATGCTTCCTCCATGTGGGCTCTGTTGATTCCGAGCGAGATGGCCGCTTGTTTACCTTCAAGCCTTTAAGACCCCAGACGCTATATCTTTTGATAGTCGGGCACCATCAGCTTTCTTCACCACATTTGCTTATGCACTCATTTGTCTTCAGCGATCCTATTGGGGGGTTGAACACACAATGATATGATTTTTTGTTCCTTGATGCCTGACAACTGATCCCTTCGGCACCTCGTGATCACGCAGGCTGGTGCACTTCTTCCATGTGATAAGCCACTAAATTTTAAGATGATTTTTAAGCAACAATAGATAACTAAAACATTTTTCATTAGAAATAACAAATTCCTGAAAACAACAATAATTTTAAAAAAAGCTAGAATTCTAAACCTACAACATACTGAAAATCTATCTAAACCAAAATACAAAATACATAAGTACTGGAGGGTTATCACTTCGAGAGTCTTACAAAAAGAAGTGCTAAAGACGATATGGGTGCAAGAAATAAGTCAGCAATGACACTTACACGCGTGTTCACTACTCACGGAGTCCAAGGGAGGGGGAGCTTCGTGCAGCTGACTACAACTCACCTGGGTTAGTGTTTCGAAATTGTTCTTAAGATAACACCAGCATATAGAAAATGTCTACAATCAACATGTACATATCAAATTATCTCTGAAACTGATAATTATTGATAAATTCTTCACATCTTCTGTAACACCACCTCTTATAGCCCTCTCATCCCCCTTCAGCTGAGAAGAGAAACAAGAATATACTAGAAAGGACAGCAAAACAAGAGAATTCTCTTCAGTACAGCATTTGTTAGTTGTTTTCTTTTTACTCTGACCTTTGATCTGCTTTACCATAATCCATAGGTGTGTCGTGGATATGCAATGTAAATAAGAATTTTTATGATTAAGGATCAAGTTATGATCAAGTGGTATCTTTTAAATGATTTTAAGCAAGGGCTTAGCCATACGAAATGTTGATTTTATCCTCCATTTCATTCTTAAAATAAAAATTTAAATTTCTAATAGAATACCAAATTGAAATCGAAAAAAATTCATTTTTCTCAACCAATAGAGAAGTCAGTTTCAGTAGAAAATGATTAACTTTTTTAAAAGCTATTAAGTATGACTTACTTTAACAGCAAATTTCTTACTTGCCATGGCTTACTGATTCAAGAGTAATTATATACCTTTAAAAGAAGAAAAAAGAAAGTTATAAGGATACATATCAAAATCTGTTTCTATTTGGATATCATATATAGGAAAATCATTGGCTGAATCACTAAATGTCAACAGATATTTAATCATTAAATATCAACAGGCAAATGTTATTAATAATTATCTTTAATTTGCTACAAATTACTATAATGAATTAATAAGTAAGTTTTCCACACAAACAAGTCCAGCCCAGATACCTTCACTAGTGAACTCTACCAAATGTTTAAAGACAAAGCAATACCAAACCTTGCCAAATTCTTCAAAAATGTAGAAGAGTTCTCAAATTATTACAGAGCCAATGTTACTGTGATACCAAAACTAGACAAGAAGATCGCAAGAAAGAATAAAACACATTATTCTCTCTTACAAACACAGACACAAAATCAACACCAAAATACTAGCAAACCAAATCTGGCATCAGATGAAAAGAAGTATATAAACTATGACAAAATTGGAGTCTTCTCAAGAATGTAAGGTTGGTTTAATATCAAATAATAATATTAATAGACCATCTAGGCATAGTTACTTAATATGTCTTTTCTAACCACAGTGGTTATAACAACTATTTTGGAAGGAGTTATCGGTTATACTAGTGAGATAGGATCAAGGTGAAATATATATTTTGAGACCTTGGAGATTTAAGTCTGTAGAAGGCAAAAACCATACCTCTATCATAGCCGCATTTGTGATTTCCCCTTCACAATCCAGCAGGGGACAAAGACTACTGCTGAGTCACTGGTGAAAACCACCAACCAGATATCAGCCACCACCCAAAAGGACTTTTCTGGCCCTGGACATAGGTAGCCATCTTGACAAGAGTCCCAGTGTGTTCTGCCCTGCCCAGACAAGACCTGCGGATATTTCACTCTTTTGCTCTAGATCCTGCATCTGGCTTGCATCTGCCTGACCTCCAGTTTGGAGGGCTTGAGTTGCAGACTACCACCTGACCTGATTCACCAGCTTCACCAGCCTTGTGGGTGAGGAGGCTCCTCCAGATTGTGGTATGAATTTTGGATTATGGATTTACCAGCTACTACACCATGTGAACCATCTCCTTAACAATTCATGAGTTCTATGAGATGTTACAGCAAATTGTAGAACCCTGGGATTTGAAGAAATATACTATGGGGAGGAGCGGTGATTGATATCAAGAAGAATGGAGTGATAGAGCATTTTATAATAGTGAAGTATAAAGTATCTTTAATCTCCATCTCATTGGAATTGGTCTAATATAAATCTTTCTAAAAGAAATTACTTTTCCAACCATAGTCACAGAATAAAAAGCAAAATATGATCATCTCAATAAAAGTAACAATAAACCATTTAACAAAACTAAATTTAAGTTCATAAAAAAACACTCAACCACTAAGTGCATCCTCAATCTCATTGAGATCATCTATGAAAAACCCATAATTAACATGCTTAAAGGTGACAGGCTGAATGTTTCCCACACGAAGAATAGAAAAAAAAAGGATGTCTGGTCTCATTTCACTTCAATATTGTACAGAGGCTATTGCGAGGGCAAGTAGGGCATCCGGATTGGGAAGAGAGAGGTAAACTACCTCTATTTACAAAAGGCATGTTCTTATATATATTATACCAACAAGTGTTACTACAAAATCATAGAAACCTTTCTTTCTTAAATAAAAATATCAAAATGTGAAGCTGTTGTTTCTCACTATATCTTCCATCTAGGTCTATACATTTTTGGGTTTTTTTATTATTTAATCATTTCATTTGGGGCTCGTACAACTCTTATCACAATCCATACATACATCCACTGTGTCAAGCACATTTGTACATTTGTTGCCCTCAGCATTCTGAAAACATTTGCTTTCTACTTGAGCCTTTGGTATCAGCTCCTCATTTCCACCCCCCCACCCCCCAGGTCTATACATTTTTGAAAGGGGTGTTTCCACCTCTAACCCTTCCTCAAGGAGCCCTAGTGCTGTCCTGCCGTAGATTAAGGGATGGACTTCTGACAAGGTCAAGGGTTCAAACCCGCCCTCCACTCTGCAGAAGATGAGGCTATCTGTTCCTGTAAAGACGTTTCTGAAGGCCTGAGGAGCAGGTCTATTTCATCTCATAGGATCACTATGAGAGGCAATTCATATGGCAGTAGATAATGAGTAGTAATCCTTCACCAAAACAATTTTCTCTTTTACATCACATCAAAAAGGTAATTTTGGCATCTCTAAGGGACCCCAAATCCTGTTCCTTTAAAATATTGAGTGGTTTTTTTTAGGGGGGGAGAAGTCTGAAAAGGCTAATTAATGGTGTTGGATGGATAGACAGCTCTTGCTACCTTCCAAGAATGAGCAGGTGCATTGTTGTGATAGGGGGGAAAGCTGCTTAGTGCCACTTCCTTGGCTTTTTCTAATGAAGTTTTTCATTTTCTTAAAACTTCTTCAGAAAAAGCACCCATAAACATCCTGCATCCTTTGATAAATATATATCATGTTTACTTCTTAGAAGTCCCCCAGTTACCATAACGTTTTGAGCTGATCTCTTGACTTTGAATTTGACTGACCCAGCAGAACCCCTTGGAAGCCACTGTTTTGAGTGAATCTTTTTTTGAAGGCAGCCTCACAAGGTTAAGATGAGTGCATTACTGACAGAACTTGTCTGCAGCCATCTGCTGATCACAGAGACATCGCAGGCGTGCTTATTCAGAATACACCCCAGCCATGCATCAACTGGAACCCTAGAAGCAATACTTAACCTTCTACAAAATCCTACAGGATACACACATACACACACGAATTAATAAATGAGTTTGACAACGCAGTCAACTGAAAGATCGATATAAAAAGTCAACTGTGCTCCTGTACTCAGCAGTCATCCTGATCTAAAAGAGGTACACTTCAAGGAGCCCAGAAGTTGCCTGAAACTGTAGATAGTACCGATTGCTATATATACTGAACAGATTAACAACACTAACTCAATGGGAATGTAGAATAAAAAAATGTGGGTACACTGGACAAACAGATGAATACTGTCCTGGCCAGAGTGAAGTGGGGTGCCATAAGATTTCATCGTGCACACATTTAACATTTCTGGACTGCAGCTGACTGCTGGAAAGTGAAGCCGTGCATAGAGTGGCAGGGCCACTACTAGACAAGCGATGAGTATTTCAGGATTTCAGGGTTTTTTTTTTAATGTTTTATTGCTTTAAGTAGGAACTTACATAGCAAATCGGGTTCTCATTTGACAATGTCTTTCCAAATGGTCCAGTAACATATATCTATTGTACAATTCTTGCCAACTCTCTTTTTTGAGGATGGTCAACTTAATGACAGCATTTAAACAGTCAGCGGTGCAACCCTGGCATTGAGCAACATGATTTTTCCATCACTATAAAGTGAAACTCTATAAGTAAACACTCCCCTCTATCTTCCCCTCCCACCTGTGATAAACACCAATCAACTCTGTTCTTTTCATACATATGCATTTTGCCTTTTTATGTAAGTTAGGTCATACAACATTTGTTCATTTGTGATTAACTTATTTCACTCAGCATCATGTCTTCAAGCTTCATCCACACTGCAGAAGGTATCAAACTTTGATTTCTCCTACAGGCTGAGAAGTACTCCATTGCACACTGTACCACTCTGTAACACTTTTATCTTTCCATCCATCTCTTGGTGGGCATTTAAGTTGTTTCCTCCTTGTGGCTATTGTCAGTAGTGCTCCAGTAAACACTGGTACACAAGTCTCTGTTTTCAATTTTTTTTTTCCTTAGTCATCCTCTTGGGAGTGAAACGGTATCTCTTGTAATTTTGATTTTCAATTACATTGAACATCTTCTCGTGCATTTGGTGGCCATATGAATGTCCTTTTGGTGAAATGTCTATTCAGGTACTTTGCCTATTTTATGATTAGGTCCTTTCTTTAAGTTGCTGAAGTTTTAAAGTACGTAAATTTGGGTTATTAGATTCTTATTGAATATGTGGCTTCCATATTGTCACAGTTGGTCCCCTGTCTTTTTGCTTATTTGGTAAAGTTTTTGTTTTGTTTTGTTTTCCGGTAAAGTTTTTTGCTGTAAAAAATTTTCAGAATTTTATTAGATCTCCTTTATGTATTTCATCTCTTGCTATTTGTGCTTCTGCTGCTCCATTAGAGAATCTTTTGTTAAAACAAGGCTCAACAGGGAGAAAAATGGAATCGTACATCTACATAAAAACCTGTACATGACTGTTTATAGCAACAGTACTGATAACAGCCCAAACTAGAAAAACAAACAAACAAACAAACCAGATGCCCTCCAAAGGGTAGTAACTGGCTAATTAAATGACACTACACTCAAACCATGGAATAATATTCAGCAATAAAAAGGAAGAAAACACAAAACTTAAATGGGTATGTCTCAAACTTAAATGAGTGGAAAAAGCCAATCACAAAATGTCACACACTATATGATTCTACTAATAAAACATTCTCAAACTAACACAAGAGGCACACGGAGGCAAAACACTAAGGGGGTGCAACAGAACAGCAAGGGAATGGACCGGCGAGGTCCCCAGGGAATGCTGAAGGTGGACTTTGGAGCCATGACGTGGTGTGCAACAGACTGGACTGGAAAACACTCCTAAAGGTCAACAAACAATCCTTGAACTAACTACAAGCTTTTCTTTCTTGTTATGTTCTGTTTTGTTTTTTTGTCGTTGTTTTGTTGTTGTTGTTGTTTTGTTGTATATTGTTGCTTGGTTTTGCTCTGTCTTGATTTTGTGCATGTTATTATCTCTGTAGGTCTGTCTAAATAAGATAGGTTGGATGAACAATCTGGAGGAGAAAACAACGGAACCGACAGTTCCGGGGGGACATGGGATAGGGGGAGGTGGGGGAAAGGAAGTGGTGTTAACAAACCCAGGGACAAGGGAACAACCACTCCAGTACTCCCTCAATGCAAGAATACTTTCTTCTATTAAATTGGCATTCTCTGATGCTCACCTTCCCGACATGATCTCTGAAG